AGATACCTGTATCTGTTGCACAGATATCTGAGGAATACTACATTTTCTCTTTTAAAGAGAAGTCTTAAAAGTTGGTCTTTAGCTCACATTCAGCTGCTCTAGGCATCTCCTCTGGAGTCACAGCTCTAACCTGCTTCAGAAAAGTGAGAAATTATAAAAGTTCCAGCTAAGGACCTTGATGAGATGAAATGAAATGCTGGGAAAATGGTAAAGTGACAATGTGCCTTGACAATTCTGCCTCTACTTCAAGGTGCTGGCATGTGTGCCATGACCTACTGCCAGGGAAGTGCTGCTAGGAGGAAGCAGGGTGACAGCAGAGCGAAGCATATGGCTTCCTGTTGAGATCTTCTGAACTCCTTAATCCCAGCCACTGACTTCCTCGCTGCCAGTTGGCTCTTCTCTGTATGACACCCCTCATTTTTAAAGTCCTAAAGTCAGAAACTTTCCAACGCTTGCCCCAGTCCCTCCCTGCAGTTGGCAGCTTGAGGGTGACTGGTGTCTCCATACCGTCTCAAGGACTTTTCTGTGGAAGGTGGACATGTCTTGGGACATGCCACAGAGGTTGTCCCAATGTTCAGCATTTTATTGTGTTGGTTTCTGAAGGTGAAAATGGAGTTCTGTACCAGTAATTTTTTTTAAGTGTAGCACATTTTTTTTAAGTGTAACTTCTACCATCTACAAGTAAAAAAAAAAAAAAAAAGCACAAGTCTTATGCTGAATATTTAGTCTACTGTGACCAAAATATGTGTACAAAAGCTGTTTAGGTAGTAATACATATACTTTCTCATCTCTCTTTTCCCCCTCCCTCTCCCTTGCTGGTCTTTGAAGAGAATAAAACACACCATTTCCCGAAAGCTGTGTTCACACAGAGAGCTAACATTTCTAGATGCAGAGAGACAGGAGAACTTTGTTGCCCTGGCAACTAGAGCCACCAGAAAGTATTTCCATTATCTCCTACCTTTACTATGTTGTAGCCTTTGGTCAGTCAGGTGGTAAAACCAATTATGAGCTGAAAAAGCATCTTGATAGTGTGCTCCACTTAATTCATCTGGTCTTCCTCCCAGCCTCTAGAATAGAAGGTGACCTCTGCAAATGATCCTGTATTGAGGTATTCTGTGTTACAGTTCATGGCTGAACTTCAAGATCTGCCCTATGCTGCATATTTGACTTAAACCCATAAAGTGTTGTGGTCTTTTGGGAAACAATGTTAGCACCTTAGCAGCTTTCACTCAAAACCTGCATGTGCTGAAGTGATGGAGCTGAGTCTCTGCTGCAGCACGGTGAGCAGGTGCTGCACAGAGTCGTGCCAGTGATTCAGTGTGGTTCATTCTTACCCCTGAGTCAGGGCTGAATTAATGTCCCAGCACATTGTTCAAGTTTTGAAGCAGTGTGCTGATGCAGGTAGCTCTTTAGCTTTTGGTAAAAAAAAAAAAAAAAAAAAAAAGACAATGCTGAAGCCCTTCCTATCTGCTACTGTTAAATAACACATATCTCCCTTCCCCCATGTTCCTTATTCATTCAAAGAATTTCACTAGGATTGCAAAAGAAAACACTTTACAGATACAAAATTCCAAGTTTCTGGTTAACCTTCCACCTAAATATAACAATATTGTGTAGCTGATTTTTGATTGAGGTACAGACCCTGAGGAAAATAAAACCTTGAGTAAATGCATGTGTTGTAGTTCCCAGGTATCGAACAGCTGAATGTGGTTTTTTTTCACTTTTGAGGGCTGGAATTCACAACTTAAACAATCTTCCCTAAACATAGAATTTGGTATATAGTTTTGTTTTCTAAATTTAAAAAGTCCAAGCGATTTCTGTTGTGTTTCCCAAAGTCCAGTGAGGTCAACACTGGGTCTAAACTATCACAGCAAAAAATTGGGGGGCATGCAAAGCCACATGTTTGTAAGAACAGTACTGGGGGGAAATCGCAGCTGAGTGGTGAGACTATGTTTTTATAATGTCTTTCTTCTCTAAATATTTCATTGCTTTCCTTTGAAATAACAAGACCTTCTGTTTGATGTCAGCCCTCAGAAGGATCAGGGACTTCTGGCATCAGTGTATGGACAATCTGGATTAGGTCACCTGTAAACACTGCCTTTCTCTCCCGTTGTGACTTCAGAGGACTCCTGCCCTTTTCCACAGGAGGGAAAGGCACAGAGGCACTGAGCAGCTGTGTGTTGAAGGAGAAGAAAATGGTGATGGAAAGCGGTTCTCCCTCTGCCCTTAGTTTTTCTTTCTGTATCATTGCAGGTGTTTCCAGTATCCCACTGATAATCCAGATATTCAGGTTTTCATCAAGAAAGCAATCACAAGAAAGGAAAAGATTTTTTTTTACTGATGCATACAATTTTGATTTCACTTTCTGAAGAAACACATTTCCCTAGGCCAAGTACTTGTTTTCTACTGTATTGCAAAGACCTACAGTAACCAAGAGCCAAAGTTGAGCCTCCAGCATGGAACACACACACAGAGTTGCATTAGGCAGCTTACATGATGCCTCTGGCTCACCTATAATTTATAGTGCTGTTGTCAAGCTCCACCTCATTCCAATCTCATGTAGTTGCAATGCAAACTCCATTAAGGGTCAGTGACTATAGTTGTGATCATATCTTTTTTGTGCTAACTTTAAGATTGGTGGACAGTTTCAGCACAGAATTTAGCTAGAGAATGAGCAGCTTACTCTCCAACCACTGGTGCTTGTAAAAACTTTAAATCTGGTGTTTATCTTGCTATTTTACACCATCTGTGCTGCTGATTTATGCAGAGTGATAATAGGCTTTTCTTGCCCGTATAAAAGTTTCTGATCCACCTGCAGCAATTGCAGAATGACAAAATGATTGCTCATAAGAGCTAAGTTATTAATGAGTGCTAACATATTGCTGTCTTAAAGCTTTTCTGTACATTTTAATTGCAGAATATGGAGAGGTCTGGGGAAGATGTTAACAAGAAGCTGAAAATTGTCAAGCAAAGTTATGTATGAGAGGATATAGCAGTAGTAGTTCCTTTCAGTACATGGTGTTGTGAGCCACCCCAGAAAGGGTGGATTAGAATTAAATGACACTGAATAATTGATGTTTGAAAACATATATATGTAGATTTTATTTTAGAAAAATTGTGTTTCAAAGATAAACAGATATGTTGCCATTTTGGATGTTATCATCTGTATCTATCATCTATAGCAATATGATATAAAGATGACCTTTAGGGAAAATGCATAAGGGAGAGAAAGTGAAAGACAGGATAAGGGTAAGGGAGAGTAAGGAAAAGAAAAGATGAGAATGGAAAAAATGTATATAGTCACCACCCATGGGGTCCAGAGATGAAACTTGGTAGTTGCAACTTCCACGTCTGTTAGTTGAAGTGGTGGTCTTGATCTGTTAGGGGTGGGGGAGGGAAGCCCCCACACTCAAAGAAATTATGAGTTATTATATCCATGGGTAGTGTCATGGGCCATGCCATGAGCCTCCAAGTCTCCTGGGCCTGCTCAGAATTCCTGTGAGGGGTACGGTAAAAGGGTTTTTCCCTTTCAGTGTTAGTGGGGTATGGGCTTTGATGGGTCATGCCATGAACCTCCAACGTCTCCGACAGCCCAGCACAGAGCTCATGTGAAAGGCATGGTAAGCACAGCTCTTCCTGTCTTTTCAGGACTCAACACCTTCAGTAGCACTGGTGGTGGGGATGGGTCCAGCTGCCTCTTCCCAGCCTGCAGTAGTCCCCTGGCAATCCTAGAATGTGTAAATCATTAACCGTTTCAGTCTCTGACACATAGGCAGGAACCAAGGGATTGCAGAGGATAAAAACAGGGTTGGAGTACATTTTCTGTTAGGATCTCGCTTCATGTTCAAAAAAATTATTATTATCCCAAGTCTGTGTCCCTGGCCCAGGGATGTTTTTGCCACATGCTTATTTTGCATTTTTATCCATCTTCATTAAGTGTGAAGCTTTTAGACAGCTCTATACAGATGATAGTGAGCAGTTGCTGATGTTCTGGAGAAAATAGTGACCACAGTCAAAAGCATAATCACATTTGAACGAGTCTCTTCCTCTAACAGAGGGAATTCTTACCTTTTAAACCTTCCACATGACTTTTGACTCTGAGATGACATAATTTCTCATCTTAATTATAGATTTAGAAAAAAATTGTTTTAGAATAGAAAACTCAGCCTGATCATAGACACTCAACAAAGGAGCATGAAGTAAAGTTTCACCATTGGGAAAGGATGAAGGAAACCCAAAGCCCCTTTCCTGACTCTCTAGGCTTCATCAAAGACCCATAGAAGCACATCAGTCTGTTGTTCTCTTCAGAGACTGGTTTTCCTGCTGCATGCTTTGAGATGTAGCCAGTCTAGCTGTTCTCAGCCTTTTCCAAAGGAGTAGGAGCAACTCAGGGTCTTGCCTTTCTTTCCCCAGTTTGCCATTTAGAGAGACTCCTGGTGGGGTTTTCAAGGTCTGTGTGCAAATTAAGGGATATCTTGAACATACATTGGTGCCTTACCAACTCTTGCTTGAGGAAGTATATTAGGGATAAGCTCTGAGGGATGTGATTTCTGCACATGCCTTCTCTCCATTTCTGGCTAGAGTTGGAGCCTAAGGAGAATGCTACAGGGAATTCTTGGCTTCTCACATGGTGTGGGACAGCTTGAATAAATTAAGGACACTAATCGCGGACCCCTTTTTTTCTGTCATAGACAGTTTCTGACTTTCTTTCCAGTTGCAGGTGCAAAGGAACAGGGGCACAGACACCCAGTGAGAAATGCTTTGGATGCAGAACTGTGGAGCTGGGGCATGAAAGAGCAGATGGATCAGTCAAGGCATCTAAACTGAATATTCCTGTTTCAGTCAGCATCTACTAGTCTGAAATCCTGTGGGGTTCAATAGGACAGAAACGATCATTGCTTGAGGCCTGGGAATGCAGGGGGAATGAGGAAAGGCAACTTGGAAAAGTGTGTTAAAAATAAGCATTTATTCATTGTAGAACGTATTTCTTGCTTTTATTTTAATTTATCTACCTCTCACTGTCTAGAAAGAAGTCATGTGAGCTTCTGAGCTGCAGGGACAGAGACAGAGGAGAACGTGTGCATCAGTGCAGAGTGCTACTGGAGCCCCGGCAGAGCGGGAGGGAGGCAGAGGGAGCGTGAGAGAGAAAAGGCGAAGTGGTAGGAGCTGGAACAGCAGCAATTGCTGCTGCTACACGTTTCGGCTCGTGCCCGGCAACCAGCTCTGCTGCCAGCACGCGTCTCCGAGGGCACAGGTGCTTCAGGTTCAAAAGTCCTAGAAGGGCGGTGGTACTTTTAGGAGCCAAGCACAGCTGCTTTATTCTTTTCTTTTCCTGCAAAGAACATCCGTTTGAGGACTCCGCTCCTTTTCCTGGACTGAAAGAGGTATTTTTTTGTCATGAATGTGTCTCTTCTTTGAAAGCAGGTATGGGATCAGGAAAAAATAACCCAGGGCAGGATGTTAAAGCAGATGTGCAGAGAGATGGTGGGTTTCTCTATCTCCTTCCCCTTTATAGCAGAGCTTAGGCATTCAGGAGCCCTTGTTAGGATACACTTTGACATAAATATGGAGGATGGGAAAGACAGGGTTAAAGTGTGGGGGTGGATCTGAAGTGTTCCCATCTGGTTTACTTCTCTGTGAAATCTCTGAAACTGGAGGAAAACTTTCCTTGTGCACTTGGAGGAGCAGCATTACATAGCAAGATGTAAAACTTGCAGTTATACAATATGAATGTGATTTGCTTAAATCTCTGCTTGGCAAATTACAGTTCCCATCACAGCAGAGCTCCCCTTAACACATACAAGTCTCAGAGGTCCTAATGTTTGGTGGCTGTGATAGCACTTCTGTTTTTTTCTTTCTCTTCCCTCTTTTCCAGCTTAATTGCCTCCTGCTGCCTGCAGACTCCTCCTGGTCTCCCCCTAACCTGTGAGGTCTGTACCCCTATGGATGCCCCTGTACAGATTTTCCGTGAAGAGCTGGACTCCACCTGCTCCCCGGGGCCCTGTCGACCCCCCAGCACCAGTAGCAGCTGGCTCCTCGGCTGGGCAGACTATGAGAGCAACGCCACTGGGGCCCTTGGGGATGGCCAGCACAACCACACCAGCATCTCCCCCGCCATTCCCATCATCATCACTGCTGTCTACTCGGTGGTCTTCGTTGTTGGATTGGTGGGAAACTCCCTGGTCATGTTTGTCATCGTAAGGTAAGGGGCTTTGGGTACCGGTTAGAAGAGGTGCAGAAGACCGTCCCTAAATTTGGCAGGGTGGAGGAGGGGCGGTTTATGGGAGCTCTCTAGGTGAACATCCATGAAGAGCCGGAAAAAAGCAAGGGAAATGACCCAAACTTTTTCAGCCAAAGTGTTTTGCCTGGATGTGCAGTTAGAAACAGAAGACACAAGCTGGTTAAAAGAGATAAGTCGTGCAGCCTGAGGGAAGGCACTGTGTGCCCCGGAGCTGTGTTCATCGGCTGCCCTCTAGGGACGACAGGCTGCTGGCATAAGAGGGAAAAAACCTTGAGTGGAAGAAAGAAACTTCTACAAGGTAGCTTTTTTTTCCACTGTGAGGAGACCCCAAGGGACAGCTTATGCTTCCAGTCGTGTGGACACCAATATGTTCCTGTCTTGGCACCCAGTGGTTTGTTTAACAGGGTGGGGAAAAAAAGAAATTATAAAGATAGGAGGAAAAGCAAAGGTTGTTTTTATTCTGTTTAGCAGTGTTTAAATTCAGTTATTGATGTTGGATTGAAGAAAGCAGAGACGGTACTAAAATACCTTTCCCACTGTTTTTCAGGAAAGAGGAGAAAGCTCTGTGCCTGTGTCAGTGAGTTTTTCACATTAAACCACTTAGCGAAATGCACCAACACTTAACACTTTTGTATTGGTGTATATTTTAGCTTTCACTATGCTTTCTTCCCTCTTTTTGTCCCTTTCATTTGCAATTTATAGGCATGTTTGGACAGTGCAGATCAGCAGGGCAAAAATGAGCAACCAAGGGGAATAAAATCACGCAACTTTTTTGGGCTCTTGCTTCACAGTCTGTTTGAATCCTACTAAAAATTCTAAAAAAAAAAACCCCAAAAACTTCAGAGTATTCATTGCTCAGATGAAATCAGCTTGTTCACAGAAAAAATGGAGGTATTGTTGTTAGTAAAGCCTGCAAAAAAAGGGTCAAACATTTGCAGGATGTTGAAATAACTGTCAGATGATATAAGGGGAAGTTATTAGAAGCAGTGAAGTTGTTGATAAGGTACTGTACAAAAGATGAGTTGTAACCAGGTGAGTACTCCTGAGTAATGAAAATAAAATTTCCTTCAATAATGCAATAAAGAAATATGCCTGTGGTCAGTTTGAAAAAACTGGTTGACCCCAGCTTTGTGATGCTGTAATTTTTATAATCCTGCATGCCCTTTTACCCTTCCTCCAGTGTAGAAATTTAATTTTTTCTGTATTTCTGCAAGAAGAGAGGCTTCATCTTGATGGTCACACAGCTGCAAAGGTAGAGATTTTCTAAGGCATCAGTCGCTAACAATGATAGTTGATTAACTGGCCTAGGCAGTGGAAATAAAACCAAATTTAGCCCTTAAAGTTACCATGTATGTATTATAATGGTGTATATGTATTTGCTTTTTTCTTTCCTTTTGTTACCCTCCTAAGACTATTTTTGTGAGGTTCTAGATAGCTATGGCTCGCTTTCCTACTATTTCCTACATCAGTCTGTCCTTCAATTTCCTCTTGGTCCATCTCTTGATTACATAATAATAATAAAAAAAAAAAGATGACAAAACACTTGTTGGTTTTTTCTCTTCTTTTTATTTATTTTCAGTATCTTTCTTTCCTATGTTTTCTCTGTGGCAAATATTTTAACCAGTTCTAGAATCATTAGCTAGAATGCAGGTTTACAGTTTTAAAACATTCCTTATGATTTTAAAATATTTCAAATGTTCATGCAAGAGGTATATTTTTGTCCTTACTTCTCATCTTTCTCCCTTTTCCCCTCACGTCCCCTCTTCATGATTTTCTCTTAGGATGGATTTTAATGACACATGAACAATGTAGCCAGCACTGATGTCCTTTTGTGAGGAAAATCAAGGTCTATGGGAAGCTTTTGAGAGCAGATGGTAAGGGATAGGCAAATTGTGTCCCCAAGACATCCCACATTACCTCTCCTCCTTTAGGTGCCATGACTCTAAAGGAGAATGAGGACAGACTGTGTCTCTTCTTTACCTTCTAGCTGAATATAGGGTTTGTGTGAGGCCCCTTGTTGAAATTTCTCAAGTCTGAATTCCAGATCTGCTCTCCTCCTCCTCCTCCTAAGCCCTGGACTGGCAGCCATGGCAAGCACTGCTCCTTCTCCCTTTACTCCTTTAAACATAATCTAATACTATTAGAATAGCTCAGTTTTATCTACTACAATGATCATCTAGTCCAACTACCCGACCCTTTCAGGCCTGATATTGAGTCACCTTTTGAGTGACAAAAAAAAGACCTCTTATGTTCTGAGACTGTCAGTGAAACTGTTGCAATGTCAATGCTGTGGTAGATTTAGGAGATTCCAGAGTCTTGAGATGCCTCAGGAGCAGGCTCAAATTCAGCCATAGCCTGTGGTATAGGCAGGCCTCGGCCAATTTCTTGCTTTGCTACCACTACAGTACTGGTTTTACAACTTCTGCACAAGTGCTGCTAGAGAAGCTCATAGAGACCAGTGAGTCAGCATCTCAGCTGCTTGTGCACAGAATGGCGGCTGTCCAAAATCTTTTATAGCTGTGGTGGGGTGTATTTCTGGTGAGAGGAAAAACCCTCTCAGAGTTTTCTCAGACGGAAAAATAATGGGAATGACATTTCAACCACACGTACAAACTCCTAAACTCTGAAAAGTAGCAGAGTTTGACACAGCTCCTGAGAGGAGAGATTTGTGTTGAAGTCTGAGTGGGAATGTTATTTTAGTGTGGTGACAGCATGGCCTGTTAAACTATTTATCAGGAGACCTAGATTCTTCTCTTGGTTTTGCTACCAGGCTTCAACGCTTTTTCCTGTTTTGCAAGGTCACTCAATGGCCCTGTGAATTGGTTTCCTCACTTGTAAAATGGAGATCTGGTAATCACCGTCTTTAAGCATACAGCAACAGTTAGATTTAAAAGCCAAAGTCTGATCATTAAAGAACACTAATGAAGCAAGATCAGGACTACTGTAAACATCCTGAACTCCTCAGACACACCTAGAGTGGTTATGTTTACTGTGCAGAAAAAACTCTGTGTTGAGTACGCAGTGGACTGGGAGCCTGTTCATGTGCATGGCAGTCGGCTCTCACTGTGGTGTGGGTGGGTGGTTTGCAGGAACTCCCCCTGTGTTTGGACCAGTTGTGTGCCATGTGTATCATCTCCAGGGGTCTGCTGTCAGCTAGCAGCCAGCTGGGTGGATGAACAGCGCCTCATTCATGCCGAGCCATGGCCTGTGGGTTGTAGGTTCTCCTCTTGCTGCTGCTTTTCCTGGGGGGACAGTAAGAGAGAAAGAGATCATTACGTTGCGTCTTGCACTGGTGGGAAATGCAGATACTGTGTGGGAAGAACAGTCATCTCCTGTGGAGGGGAAGGGGAACCATGGAATGAGTTTCCAGGTACCGGGTGAAGTTATCAGACCTCACCTAAGTAAAGTCTTATAGCTATGTGGCTCTTGGCATAACTAGAGTCTAACTCAACCCGAAATGTCTTCGAAGGTCTTCAAAGATATTTCTGGTGGTGAAATAGTTGGCTGAAGATGATAAATAAAACTACTTGTCCTTGGAAGCAAAAAGTCTTTTCCCTGCATTTCTCCTCCCTCATGACTTTATTTTTCTAAAATTCAATGCTAGCTTTAAACAAAATGGTAGTTTTTGTGACAGCTGGAGGGGAAGAAAAATCTGCTGACTAAAGTTAAAACTTTAACTGTAGATTTGCCCTTATCAGAAGGGCAAACATACTCTGATAAAAACTCTGGGAGGTGCTGTCTCCTACCCACTCCAGATGTACTTTTTCTCCATATATGTCTTACCTTCATTATTCCTGAAGTTATCTACTGGGACCAACTGATATCAACAAGACCCTAAACAGCAAATCCTGTATTTCTTCTAAATCTATATTTCAAGCTTCCAGTGAACTGAATAATTTTCTACATTCAAAAAAAGTTTTAAGACGAGGTTGTTTCATGGAAATGTAGATTGATTCCTAAGGGAAAAGAGAAAGCTTATAATCTTCTGCTTAGTCTAATGTTGAAGACAAAATTTAACCACTTACACATTTTTGGTCACATATTCATTGAACTGAATGGCATTTTATGCAACAGGAAGAGTGTATTAAGAAATGTCACATCAGATTGACTCCTTTCCAAAGAGTTTTTTAAATTTCCCCATCATTCATTCTAAACAAGAATGAAAATACTTTTTAAAAAAGTACACAAAAATGAAATAGATTCAATACATTGATTTAAATTAATAATAGATTTTGATAACACCAGAAGATTACTTTTTAATTTTCTTTAAATTATTGGTTTAATTTGATTAAATTATATTTGGAAAGAATATTGTTCTGAAATGAAAAATGAAGCTCCAGAAGAGTCAATATAACTGAATTGCTTGTTCCCTATTGCTGGCAGTTTGGATGATTTAATTCTTTTGTGAAATCAAGGGTTTGGCTGCTAAAGGCAAAGGCTGAGCTGCACTATACTTCATGAAGTTTATGACTTTTAACCTATTTTTTCCCTAATCAGACATCTGACACCTTACCAGTAGAGACGCATCAAATGGGATTGATAGCAATTCATCACAGGACTTCAAAGAGCATCTAGCCTTGCCTCACCAAATGGAGATAATTTTGATAAGTTCTGCAGTGTTTGTCCAAACTTGACATAATTTCTGTCACAACTCTGAAGACTGATCATTACCAAAAGGTTTAACAGATGGCACAAAGACCAAGGCAACAGGAAACATGAAAGAGGACAATTTTATAACAGAATATTGATAGTCTGACAAGCACAGACCACTTAAACAAAATGTAAATTTTTCTAATACTTTTAAAACCCTAGTAGGCAGTGAGACCTGGAATTTATAGGCTGACAAGAAACTCATCTCATGCTGTTGCTGTGATAAGAATAGCTGATACTGAAAATAAGCAGGGAGAGTAGAGGAAAGGCTTTAAGGGAATATTTACTACAGACAGTATTAAAGAGAGGTT